TGACGCGCTAGTCGAAACTACCAAGTCGCAAAGACGACGCTGGACGCGCTCAAGGCGAGCGTTGTCGGGCAGCTCAAGGACCTCGAGCCGACGCGGTCGATCTATGTCGCACGGAGCCTCGCCAAGTGCTGCGAAGACCTCCGCACGCTCAGCACCGAGTCGCGCGTCGCGTGGGAGACGCTTCGAACCCGCCTCGATGGCGCCGAGTAGGACATACACATATATGGTGCGTGTATTTATTTCAACAACACGGATGGCTTCGTCTTGTACGCGGCGTACGACGGTGCGACGCGCGTTGCATATGTCTGCATCGACGGCAAGTCGAACGAGAGCGCGTGCGAGCCAAAGCACAGCTCGTGGTGCGACGGGCCGTGCGCCGGCGTTGGCTTGGGTGGCCGCACGCCCTTTTTCTTTGGCGACTTGTTCGCTTTGGGCGCCTCTTTGGCGAGCTCAGTGACGAGCGCAATGTACAAGTGCACGTCGCGCTCGGCGTCGTCCACGTACGCGGTCAGGTCGGGGATGTGCGCAGTCTCAGCCGACAGAATCGCCCGTCGGAGCTACGTTGGAATGATCGAGGGGTAGGGTGGCCACCCAAATTCATACCTTTTCACAGACGTGCTCGCCAAGCTCTACATGCCGGATGCCATGGATGCAACTCGTTGGGAATAGTACACTATCACCTGTGATCTCCAGCGCGGTGATCAAGCTGTCGGAAAGAACGCCGTCGGCCTCCCGGGCTGTGCAGCGAAGCCACGCAATCTCCGAGACGCGCGCGAGCGGCTGCAAGAGCTTCTGGCACGCCTCGATGCGGTCCTAAAGGAAACGCATGTGTGGATTGGATGGGAGGACGCTCAACAGACTTGGAGAGCGATGCGAGCTTCGACCGAGTTGCTGGCCTTCACGTGGCTTGGCGTGTCGACGGTCGGCGGTTGCGGCTCGGGCATTGGAATCGACGGAGGCTCCATCAAGTCGGCGACATCGACAACCGCCAAGGGTGTGTCAACCGGACCGTCGACGACGACGGGCGGCGCGAGAAGAAGGATGTCGGGACGCTAGCCACGCAACGACGCAACCTCGACCAAACAAGAGCGCAGAAGGCAACGTACTGGTGTCGGCTTGGCGCTTGGACGCTGGGGGATCGAAGGACTCGGTGTCACCCTTGATGATGTCTTGGCGGGCGGCGGCGTCTTGGGCTTGGGTGTCTTGGCTGTCTTCGTCGTCGACCGCGGCGTCTTCTTGACCGACTTTGGTGCGTCGTCGGCAAACTTGACAAACACCCACTCGTGGAGCTCTACCCGTTGGCATCGATCGACATGGTGCGAATAGAGGATACCCACCCGTGAGATAGGCGACGTATGCCTTGACCTTTTGGCCGCGCGCCCACACCTCAGCGAGCTCGTAAATGGAGAAACAAAACCGGTTCTTGTCCATCGAGATCAAGCCGCCGCTGTCGCGTTGCCAGTCTTCCTACACACGTCGTGGTCGTGCCGAGTGCAGCGCCAACCCAACGCGTACCTCGATGAGCGCGTCAATGTCGTCGCTGAGCTTGGCCTTCTTCCCATACATGCGCGACGTGCCAAAGATGAGCCGTTTGTACAAGTTGACATACTCGCCTACTCGCCGATGCCAGTGCCAAGAGGTGCAAATCGACTTACCGCGCTCGATCGTGCCGTTGCGGTCGCCATCGAGCAGTGTGAGGCAGCTCTGCCACCACTTGTCGAGGATCGCGGCCAGCGGCGGGTTCTGCTCAATAAAGGCGAGCTTGTCTTCTTCGTTGTCGTCGTCCTCGTCGTCGTCATCATTATCGTCATCGTCATCGCCATCATCGTCGTCGTCGTCGTTGTTGCGTTGCCCGTCTTCGTCGTCACTGCCCGCGCCATCGCCCGCCCCGCTGATGCGCTGGATGAGGCTAAACATGCTCGCTGGCTTGGACTCGGCCATCGTCCCTTGGGATGCGTTGAATACAGCGTGAGAGGGTGCTCGAGGCGTTTCTATTTAATTTTATGACGGGCGCTGGCCGCGGAGCTCCCAGTACTTGGCCGTGAGCTGCGTCGCGTACGCAAACTGCTTGCGCTTGGCGTCGCAGGACCGCGTATGGCGCTTCATTTGCGCGCGCTGGCAGTCGCGCGAGCAAAAGTGCGTGCCACAAGCGCACTCGCTCGTGCACTCGACACGGCACACGGAGCAGCGCGGGATCAAGTACGGTAGCTCTGGCCGCAGCAGCGTCGGCAAGAGCGCGGGCGTGCCGAGCACCGAGACGAGCACCTCGTATGTCCACTGCCCTTCGTCCGTGACGCCGGCGGGTC